TTTGCCCAACATATTTCTGATTACAATCTTTACAAGAAATTTCATAAATGTCCGACCTTTCCAGTGGAGGCGTTTTATCCTTTGGATCACCTAATAATTGTTGTAATTTATTATTAGCACTATACACAAGTTTATAATTGATATTCTTAAAAATACCTTTTAGACCACGGGATAACTCTCTATCAAACGGTACTGAAAAATATTTTGACGTATCTTTTTCCACTTGAAAAGTCGAATTTTCAGAAATCATTAACCTCTACCTACGTTTTCTAATTATTTTATCAACTAGTGAAGGAGAATATCCATTATACTCAGCTACATTCCTAATGTAATCTCTTTCTATTTCATATCTTTTCGTTTTCCTTCCATTAAATTTACGCATGAAATTGAGAACAACGACAGATTACCATTTCTAGATGTATTAGTTATTAGAAATAATAATAATTGCCTGGAATTAGATATCTATAGGAAAAATACCACTACACGCAGACATATTCCTAATACCCCTGCCTCCCGCGTACAAAATGGGATACGATTTCCTTAAGCTCCGATTCATTAATAACCGATTGTATCAACGAAGTTGAGTTGCCCAAGGGGCGTCCGCTGGCTAGGTAGCGGTGGAGAGGGTTCCCAGGGGGTTCCAAAGTCCGTAAAAAAATAGAAATCCGGAACGATTTCGATAGGTATAAGATAAATGAGTTCTAAATTATAAGGAAAATGCATTTTCTACGAAAACTTGAAGAAGATGGGTAAAAAAATGGAATTATACAATTTGATGAACAGTTAAATTGTACATCTGATTCTCTTAAAATATAGAGGGTGTTCGATTTAAAATTAAACAAGTTATTGTCTTTTAAAGTTAGTAATTAATATAAATTTTGGACACTCTCAATAAGGTAGGTATAATTTTTTATTATTGCAACATAACATCAGCCCAATAAATAATCTTCAGGAAAGATTTAGTACTAAAAACTTTGATACACTTGGAGAAATGGAGCCTTAAATTTTTGCTGCAATTTCACAAAATTGAAAATATTTAAAAAACGGTAAGGTTTCATTGTGATAAAACTTAAATCAAATTTACCTTTATTTTTAATCGTAGAATCTAAAAATAGAATAATATACAGGGTGTTCTCTTTAAAAAATTACAACTATAACATTTTTTTACTTATTTGGGACACTCTGTATCTTGTAAATTATTGTTAAATTGTAGCTCGAACAGCTGTTACAAACTTTCACCGAAATACAACATTTTGTGTTCCCTCGTATAATTGACAGATGGAAACTTTCATTTTTAATTCAGAAAGAGTTACTAAAAAGTCAAATAATTTAGCTACAAATTGCTCAAAAGATCATCAAAATAGATCCACTAAAACACAATATATGAAAGTTTAAAATACATCAAAATTTAAGGTTGTGATGATCGCTCCTTATTATTTATCTTAGAATATAGAGTAGTAAAATAAAAACACTAAATCACCACAATACACCAAAACACTTTTACTTTTACACTGGACGCGCGTTTCGCTAACCATGTTAGCATCATCAGCAGATGATTATAAACTAAAATACAATCTAGAACTTGAGCGTTTATATACTGGCTCAGTGGACACCGAGTGGGCGTGGCAAAATCTAGCCAACCGAGTCAGAACCCACCGAGCGTAACAGTTAAATTTCCGCTACTAAAGTAGTAGGAACAAAGAACTTGAAGGAATTGGACCCTTGTCTCTGTTCATACTATCTTTACATTTATTAATTCTGATGCTTTCATATGCATCTAATTGCCTGTTGCCAATTCCTTCAAGTTCTTTGTATCTTGTACTACTCTAGTGGCGGAAATTTAACTGTTACGCTCGGTGGGCTCTGACTCGGTTGGCTAGATTTTACCACGCCCACTCTGCCCACTGAGCGAGTATATAAACGCTCAACTTGTAGATTGTATTTTAGTTTATAATCATCTGCTGATGATGCTAACATGGTTAGCGAAACGCGTGTCCAGTGTAAAAGTAAAAGTGTTTTGGTGTATTGTGGTGATTTAGTGTTTTTATTTTGCTGTGTAACACCAAAGGTTCCAACCCTCAACTGTAATATACAGTAGTACCGAACAAAAATATATATTCTATTTATGCCCAGGCAAATTGAACTGAATATTTTTATCGGTGTACTCTTCGCCCAGTCTTTTCTTCTATTCTTTTATTCTTTTTCATTTATTCTCGCGAGATAGAAGGGGGCGCCATAGTCCTCACTCCCCCAACGTAGAAAGCTTTTAAAAGGCGCTTTGTTACGACTAGACGTTACTCGGAATTGCTTAATAATAGTCGGGAATTTGAGACCTTTTCTTGTCACAATCTCTCTCTTGTCAGTTGTTTTAATTTGAAACTATTTAGCTGCCGAGACAAATCGCAGATTCTTGAACAATTTCTCTTTCTTTTTTTCGTTTTTCTTTCTTTCTTGTCGATTTACAACTTGAAAGTGATATACAGGGTGTCATTGAAATGGTGTAAAAAAAATCGGGGGGTGATGGTACTCCTAAAAATAGTAAAAAAAGTTCCTGTAAGTATAGGGCAGAAAATGCATATTAAGGGAGTTAGGGGCACTGAAAGGGCGTATTTAAAAAACGCTTGTTTTAAAATTGTAGGCTTAAATAACGAGATAAAATTTCGAAAAAAAATCCTCTCCCATAAATGTTGGCCCTAAATCAAATGGTGATACTGAAAAATTATTTGGAAAAGCGGAAAGGGTAGTTTTTGCAAGGATAGGTTTTTTTCGTGAATAACTTTTTTTGAGGTTATTTTTTTGCAACGTGGGTTCATTTTTTGAAAACTACATACTTTTTCCTACAAAAAAGGTACTCTTGTTGCACATCGTCCAGAGCGATGGTTTTCGAGAAAATTGAAGACAAAGAATTTGCTCTGATGGCTTCCTAACTGGTTAATCAAAATAAACTTATGAAAGTTATGGCGGTTCAAAAGTAACCAAGTAGTTATCAAATAATTAATTGAAAAATCAAAATTTCATCATTTTTAAAACATCTTATTGCTTTAAAAAACGAAATAATCCAATTACCAAAATTCCTTATTAAAATAATGCATTCTTTAATTCATTCATAGTAAATGTTCAAAGTGTGATCACCATTCATTTCAATGTATACGTCTGATCTTCTTTTCCACGATCTGCGTAGATATCCTGCGGAATATCCTTGGTGTTGTCCGAATTTGATTGGAACAATCAATAATGCGTTGCCGTAGTTGCTTTTCAGTATTAATCGGCATTGAGCAAACCAAATTTTTTTAAAACCATAAAAGTTTATTTCGTTTTTAAAGCAATAAGATGTCTTAGAAATCATGAAATTTTGATTTTCCAGTTAATTATTTAATAACTACTTGGTTACTTTTGAACCGCCATAACTTTTATAAGTTAGGGTTGATTAACCAGTTAGCAACCCATCAGAGCAATCTGTTTGCTTTCAATTTTCTCGAAAACCATCGCTCTGGGCGATGTGCAACAAGAGTACCTTTTTTTGTAGGAAAGAGTATGTAGTTTTCAAAAAATGAACCCACGTTGCAAAAAAAATAACCTCAAAAAAGTTATTCACGAAATAACCCCCTACCCTTGCAAAAACTACCCTTTCCGCTTTTCCAAATAATTTTTCAGTATCACCAATTGATTTAGGGTCAAAATTTATAGCAGAGGATTTTTTTTCGTAGTCTTATCTCGTTTTTTAAGCCTGCAATTTCAATACAACCGTTTTTTTAAATTCACCCTTTTAGTGCCCCTAACTATCACCCTCCGATCTTTTTTACACCATTTCAATGACACCCTGTATAATATATACAGGATATTTTTAAGCAAATGGGTCACTAAAAGTTTTTAGAATCTAATTATTTATGTACGAATTCGAATGTTTCAAGTTTGAATATTTCTAGTTTTGAAATATTTTCTGCTTCAGCCCATTTCCAGTTTATCCGGAAGTAGTTGACAGTTCGCTTATTTTAATATACCGGGTGGTGTTATAGATAAAGGATATAAATTTAGATTGTCAAAATTATATAATTTTTTTGGGTCGCGACCGTTGTACGCGATCTGGCGCTGCTATAGCGGTTGCTAAGAACAGCTGCCAAACAATAACACAAATAATTTTCTCTTATCAAAGTCAGAATTTTCAAAAATTATAAAATCTTTCAAAATTTAAACCGCCCTCGTTGAAAAATAGCCAAAAAAATGTTTAAAGCGTCCATTCTCAAAGTAATTATTGCTATCTTGTTATACCGGGTGTTGCATCGTCGGACGGGACATAGAAAATCCCATGTAAATTTTAATGGAGTCAATTATTGGCTTCCCTAATTATTTTAGAGAATAATTCTATTTAGGTTTATTAAAGAGCACTAAAACCCACATTCAAAAGAATAACTTTAGATATTTTTGATTAGCTCGTTTACGAGTTATCATTACATTACATTCAAGGTTTGCAGTTTTGTTGAAAATAATTTATGTTTATTACTTTAGCTTCACATTTCAGTTGTTTGTACTTTTAATAATACGGTAAAATCATAAAATATATGTTTTTAATTTCTGTGGATTTCTTAGCCAAGTTATATTTCTGTTGTCAAGTAGATAGATAGATAGATGTTGAAAATTAATGAAATTGTTTGTTCACAAGTTTGAATATATAGTAAACAGTGTCAAAATAACCACAATGTTAAAAGACCTGGACTTAACCTTAACTTGAAACAATCAGATTTATCTTGTACTAGTGTGTACCCGCGACTTCGTTCGCGTCGGATTAATCATTTGTAATGGTGATGATCAAGCAAAGCAAGAATTTCCATTAACATACAAACTAAGATAAAATTTTCTTACATTTATGTCAGCATGAGAAAAAACAATATGGCGATATTATTATATAACTTGGTATAATATTTGAGGGTAGTTAGAATATTATTATTTTTATTTGCGCCTACTTAGCTTTTATTTCTTTTTCCTTTTGCTCCATTTTCCAGCCGATCCAGAAGAGACATACAAGGGGACACTAACAACAACACCCTCCTACATCCGAAATCTCCGCACACCCCCCGCCCCAAACACAAACTGTCAAACAGCCACGGAGATCTAGTGGAGAACCGTTACTACGCATCTGACAATCCAGATGTCAGTAAAGTGAAGGTCAAACGCACGAAATCCTTCTGGAAATTTGGCAAGAGTGGATCGGACGATATTCTGGAAGGCATGGCGCTGTGGAAACACCGAGATTTGGTGGATTTGGACGAGAAAAACAATAAAGCTAAAGCCCCTAGTCAGCAGCGAGTTCGGAGAGTAAGCAGGGATCAGTCTAACGACTCTGACAGAACTATTAACAACAAAGACAACGGGATAGTACAGGAAAAGCAACAGAAAGCACCGAAAACACCGAAATCTTCCCGTCAAAAACTAAGCCTCCAACAGCACAGTAATATCGAAATGGACGAAGATATATACGGAGAAACACCGCAAAATTCGAACTTCATGGATCAGTTTTATGACGATGATGGCGATGGATTAATGATGAGAACAGTAAACAGGAAAAACATCCTTCGTCAATACAGTGATGACATTTCAGTAGCAGAATCGGATTTTGCATCAGACATGACCAGCGATGATCCGTACAGCATCGTGGTAGATGATCAAAAACTCAGAAAAGGAGACACTCACTTCCCTAATGTAGCTGAAATAGGTAAAAAGTTAGAGAAACTCTCAAAAACCAGCAAGTATTCTCCGACAAAGAATGGTGAGGTTATCAATAACAAAGAACGCGAAAAGAATGACAGGAATACCAGGCAAACTAGGTCTCGCGAAAAAGAGATAATGGAGTTTAAAACGTTTGGGCTTGGTGTTGATAACGACAACACAAAACAAACTGAAGAATATTATTCCGAGTCGACTAAAAAAGAACGCAAACCTAAACCTCGACACGAGAATCGAACAAACGATAAAGAAGTGATGGAAAGAAATAGAATAAACAACGAAAAAAGAGAGAAAAGATCGAAACATTACGAATCGACTAACGATGAACTTTCTGACGTGGGTGATAACAGACAGTTTTTGCCTAGAACAAAATTGACTAAAACCAACAGTAAAGGATCAAATTACGAGCAAGATATTAGTTTGATGGAATATGGGGAGACTCTTCAAAGGAGGTTAAAAAATTCAGAATTCAACTCAAAATATGATGAAAAATCTGCGTTAAATGGTAATATGTACGGTCCATGGTATGATTTGTGGGGATTGGATTCCTCCGCTAGAAAGTAGTTTTGTTTAATTTGCACCTTTTTTCTAGTAGTCTTGCTTGAATGAATTGATTCGGATGAATTTGTTTGGGAAATTTTTGCATTTTCTTTTCCAGGTGTAGCTCCAACTTCGGAACTATGAAACTGAGAAAATCTAGCGATAGATCTAACACGCTTATTTTAGAGTAAGAAGTTTAGAAAATAACAGATGAAAACTGTGGTCAAAAGTATACATTTCATTTGTATTATTTTTTCGGAACAGTTTTTAAAAAGCAAACATTTTCTTCTTGAAAGAGACATTTCTAAATTCGTAAACTTTGATAAGTACCATTTAGAGGGATACATTTTATTTTAGTTAAGGTGTTTTAAGTAAATACGTTTGCAGGGGAAACGTTAAATCGAAAAATTTGATATAAAAAGCCTTATATTTTTTGAAAAGTCAATTTCTTCTTAAATTTTCTGGAACTCCTTCATTTACACACAAATTTAATAAAAATATAATTTTTAAAATCACAGATTTTTCTAAAATCTACATGACATTCGTTGTGAATCTCATATTTATTATACAGGGTGAGTCTTAAATAAGTGCAAATATTTTCTCTTTGTAGTTTTTCAAAAATGTATAATATAGCCGTGAATATTAAAAAAAAATTGAAAACTACTCGATTTTTTTTTTCTGTTTTTTTCGTTTCAATAAATTTAAACTAAAATAGATGGTGGTCCGAACTGTATTCCGGAAACTTTGGCAGCATATTCTACACATAAAAATAAGTAAAAAAAGTTTTGTTTCTCCTAAATTGGTTACTTTCGGAGATACAGGGTGTTGAAGTTTCATTTTTATTTCGATTTTTTCCAAATAAATAATATTTGGATGAAATTGGTGTCTGGGAGTTTTTTGACATGAGAAATTTGATTTTGATGTCAATATGACTCCTACTTGTAGAGGGCGCCACCTACATATGTTTTAACTGATTTGAAGAGTAATAACTTTTCGTCCGTACCTGTATAAAACTACTGAGTGAAAAAATATACATTTACGACTTTTTTTACGTAAAAAAGATCTCTTGGTAAAAATCGCTACTAGTACTGGTTGTCGAGATATTCGGAATCAAAATTATCAATACCTGTCATCGTTGACATAAATTAAGCATGTTGGCTAAATAGTTATTAGACTGAAATCATAAATTTTAAATATTTTTGTGCCAAAAGTTCAACAGAAATTGTTTTATCCCCATTTTTTCGAAAAATTTATGATTTATTTTAAAATTTCCCAAATTTATCATTTCAGTCAATAACTATCTACTCAACATGTTTAGTTTTTGTCAATAATGACATGTATAGGCTATTTCCACTCTAAATATCTTGAGAACGATAGCTCGTAGTGATTTTTACTAAGATACATTTTACGACGTAAAAAACATGGTAAATGTATATTTTTTCACTCAGTATTTTTATACAGTTATGGACAAAAAGTTATTACTCTTCAAAACATTTAAAACACATGTAGGTGGCGCCTCCTACAAATAGGAATCATATTGACATCAAAATCAAGTTTCTCTGCAAAATGCTGCCAAAGTTTCCGGAATAGAGTTCGGACCACCCTGTATATGTTGTCATATTATCAAGATATATTTTTTAACTGAAAATTTAAGAATTTTTCTAAAAAAACTTCTAATAATTATTTTCATTTTTTATAAAGAAACCTCATAGTCGTCTTCCTGAGGCCTTAAAACTCGCCCTGTATATGCAAACTCAATTATATTTAACAAATTGACAACAATACGATAATATTTATAAATACCAAAGTTCTAAAGGCACCTAAACTAAAATTACCAGAAATTATATCTTTTGATCACAATAATATGTAGTTGTACACATTTGAAATATTGTAAAAATATATTTTCTATTATTCATATTTTACTGTTTTATATACTAAAAACTTTTTAGTTTTAAAATATTTTTACAATATTTCACATTTATATTTCTTTGGCCTAATACTAACAAAAATATTTACTCTAGCTCTACTATATCCCTAGCAACTAACATATGTTTTTTTATTTTTCACTAACAATATATTTTCCTGTAAATATACATTATTAAATATATTTCTATCGGTGGTTGGGAATAGGTGCAATATAATACGTAAAATAAATCAATGATTATTTATTTTTTATATAAATAATTAGTCTTTATTGTTTATAAGAAGGGGGTGGGGCATATAATCAATATTTGTGCTCAATAAATAAATATGTACGATCTAAGACTTTGTCTTGCTCATTTTTAGATCATTTATATAATAACTATTATTATCTCTATATATACTTTTCTATCTTATATTAAAAATAATATATATAATTTATGGACTTTATATATTGAAAGCTTGGTTTATTAAATCCACTGACATTTACATTAATACTCATAATATTCCTTTCTTATTTTCTAAAAATTATTTGGAGATTCAATATACAGGGACATAAATTTCTAGTGTATCATTACTTAATCATAAATTTAGATAATCAATATATATATAAAAAATATAAAATTTTTTGCAAGAATTTCTGTTTTACAGTTATAAATCCACCAAAATGTTAAACTAACTTGCATATGATTATGAAATATTTAATAAGACAAAATAAAAGTGAAAGAAGTATCGAAATAAATACATTAACACAGTAGAGGAGTTTTTCAATAAAACACAAACAAATGAGAAAATTAATTACTTGGAAAAACATTTTTCAACATTCTACATAATTTCCAAAGGTATGATTGACCGTTGTTTAATAATTTTTATAAAATTATTAATAAACCAAGCTCTGAGTGGATTTATTATATATTTTACCGATATTATACTAAAATAAGTATTTTTTACACATCAGTTATACAGGGTTATTAGGACATTACACATTATATTTGTCATAGTGAATATAACAAATATACATGTGTAATAATAATGTCACATAAATTACAGAAATACCATCAATATTGAATTGGGTAAACTTTCTTCAGATAAAGGTAGACAAATCTGTTCAACTGACACCAGAAAATATCCCTGTATTATTTTTTTATATAAACTGTAATGAATAATTTAAATTTAGTGATTCGATAGGTAACAAAAATATTATAACTAGACTACTATTCTACAGTAGTTGGAAGATAAGACATAGGTTCTTATTCAACGACTTGATGTACTTAATATGACTGTTTATATTGTTATCATAACCATATCATATAAGAATATAGGTTAGAATTATCTCTAGAGTAAGTGTATTACTTTGGGATGGAGTTACGAGGGTAGAATATTTAGGTTGAACTGAAAAATAAGATTGTGAGTAACCCTTGTAACATTTATTTTGGGTCTATACCGTCCATTCTGTTATAGACACTTACGTCAGTTTAACGAATATATTTTGTATATCTGCATTATATAATTAATTTAGTATAAATATAATATAATATATATGTACTTATGCGATACTATATAGTCGAAATTGTAAAAAATAACGTGTTAATATAATTGTTTATTATTCTTTTTGTATAGAATTGTGAAGTTGTTGTTGGCAATTATTACCGCTGTATATCGTTTTATTATATTCCAAATAAACATTTTTATTGTTTAGAAAGTTTGTTTTATTTATTCTATCTTTTAAGAAATGTAGTCATACAAAAAGATGTATTGGTAAAAACTAAACAATTTCATTACCTAGATAGCTGATACTTTGCATACTTATTTAATATTAAAAGAAAAACGCAAAATTTTGAAACAAAGTTTTTCAAGATTCTCAAAAAATTTTCAAAAATTATAAATCATTTTTTGTCACTTATTTTTTAAATATCAAATTTATTAAAACAGGTTATTTTTTATAACATCTTATATAGTTCAAAGCAAAAACTGTGGCAAAAGATTATAAATATATCTAAGCATACAATGGTAAAGGATATCCTCAAAGCGGTTTACAGCAACACTAGAAGAAATTTTCCGTCAACTGGACTGGACCAACATCAATCATCATCATCATCAACCAGCCTGAAGTGTCCACTGCTGGACGTAGGCCTCCCTCAAATATTTCCACCCGTCTCGGTCCTGTGCCACTTGGATCCAGTTTCCCCTAAATCTCTTTAAGTCATCTGACCATCTTGTCGGAGGTCCGCCTCTGTTTCTGAGAGCATCCTGTCTTAGCCGCCATTCTAGTATTAGCTTGGTCCATCTATCATCCGTTCTTCTGTCAATATGTCCAGCCCAGTTCCATTTGAGTTTTTTAAGCAGATATATGGCATCTGTTATTCGTGTACGCTGTTTTATAACTGTACTGGGTCTCTTGTCTCTTAGAGATACACCAAGCATTGCTCTTTCCATAGCTCGTTGGGCTACACGGATTTTTTCTATGGACTTTTTCATCAGTGTAAGAGTCTCTGCGCCATATGTAAGTACTGGCATAACGCACTGATGGAACACCTTCCTCTTTAAGCACATTGGTAGATCTGATTTTAACACATATCTTAGATTGCCGAATGCTGCCCATGTTAGTCCTATCCTTCTTTGTATCTCGTGCATCTGGTTATTGCGACCAATTGTTATTTCGTGCCCCAGATATTTATATGAATATACTTGTTCTATATTTGCTCCGTCTACCCAGACATTTCCACTAATAACAAGATTGGTCATTAGTTTGGTTTTTGAATAATTTATGCGTAGTCCAATTTGATCAGTTTAGTCTTTTGAACATATATTCTAATAGTGCTATGAACAATTTGGTGGAAATGGTATCGCCTTGCCGTACTCCTCTTTTAATACGGAAGATTACAGATGCTGTTGCATGGTCGTATATATATTTTAAAAGGTTAGTATAACGGGTGTCTATACGACATTCGGCTAGGGCCTTGAATAATTAATTTGTGTTGATCGATAGAGTCGATGCCTTTTTGTAGCCGACAAATATTAAAATGAGGGGTTTATTATACTCAACACATTTTTCTATTAGGGACTTTACCACCAACAGATAGTCATTTGTACCGAAGTTCGATCTAAATCCAGCCTGTTCTTTTGGTTGATATTGTTCTAGTTTTAGGGAGAGACGCTTTGAGAGGATTTTTGTGAAGCTTCTAGTTCATCCCTCAATAAAAAGCTTTTACAATTTTTTTTTTCATTTAAAAATAAAACAGCTACTAACTCGAAACTGTAAACAACTACTACCTATTCCCTTTTTAGAATATGCATATTTATTAAAGACAAAATTACCCGTTTACAGCTACCCCTCGGGCGAGACACCGACGACAGCAACAACAAAAAAGGCCCTATAACTCGTATTAGCGATGTTATCTCAATTAACAAGCCTTAATGATTTCGTCGACGTCGCCGTAGTAGTGCTAGACGTCTCGACGCTGTTCGGGCGTCGCATTAATTAGGGGAAGCGTCGGTTGCACGTAGACAGATATAAGGTTAGCGGAGGAAACTCAGAGCGATAGAAAATGTAGAATAAACTTTATATGTATGATCGCTGTAGGATTTTTTTTATAGAGATAGGAAAATACATTCGCGTATCTCAGAGCCAGATGATTGGCCTGGTATGTCGGACTCAAGATTTCAATAAGACTAAAAACCTCCTCTTTCTCCGGCCTCTGTACTCTCCGCGA